CACAGTGGGTACTAGTTCTTCCTTCATCTGGGAACAATACTCCTCCAGTCTATTTTCTAAAAAGCAGAAAACTTTCAGACATGCCCAAGGACCAGACAGATTTCTGATTCTCTATTATCATCTCTTTTCTGCACACTTAGAAACTCACCTCGTTCAGGAGTGTAATGCTTTATTGGAAGGTGTTCCTACCTAAAGCTACATTACAAGCACATATTACACTATTGCCTCAAGAGGGCAAGAATGCCACAAATTGTGAAAACTACAGCTCCATTTCTTTATGAAATGTGGATATTATGATCTTCCACTGCTACCTACCGCATACAAGCCTGTTCCAGGGAACAAATAAAAAAAGTGAAGCAATCTCCTGTTGTTTATCTTTCTTGGCCTTGGCTCCCAGCCTAATATGGTTCCCCTTTATTATGCATTTTTGAGCTTCCCACACTACCCAGGGAGAAAGCTCTGTGAAAGCATTGGTTTTAAATCACTCCCTAATGTCCCCTTCCACGACAGTGGAACTTTGTGCTTACTGGAGCAAGTTTTTGTTTATTTGCCAGTTTCCCCTGAATTTGACTATTTCACCCAATTTTAACCCATTTCAATACCGGGCAATTTTACCCCCTTCCTGCCCAGGCCAGTTTTCAGGTTTCAGCGCTCTCACACTTTGAATGACAATTGCGCGGTCATACAACATTGTACCCAAACTAAAAATTTTATCATTTTCTTCACACAACTAGAGCTTTCTTTTGGTGGTATTTAATCACCGCTGGGGTTTTTATTTTTTGCTAAATTAACAAAAAAAGACCAAAAAATTTGAAATTAAAAACACGTTTTTCTTTGCTTCTGTTTCTGTTATAAAAGTTTACAAATAAATAATTGTTCTTCATAAATTTAGGTCGAGATGTATTCTGCTACATGTCTTTGGTGAAAATAACCCAAATTAGGATGTATTATTTAGTCTGTAGGAAAGTTATAGAGTTCACAAACTATGGTATAGATCTGAATATTGATCAATCCTGAAGTACTGACAGCCAATCTAATTTCTTGAGGTCCAAGAATGTCAGAATAGTACAGATATCCCCCAAATGACCCCTTTTTGCAGAGTAGACAGTCCAACGTACTTCATAAGAGGAATGGCAAGTTTTTTGAAGTTGTATTTTTTTCTCGGAATTTTTCGGAAAATGAAAAAATTAATTAAATTTTCACTATTTTTTTTTTTTACATACTGTCACCAGTGCAGTACAGCGTCATCATATAACTGGCATGGCTGTGATCAGGGACACTGACTGGTGACAGTATGAAAAAAAAAATATTTTTTTTTTTAAATTTTTTTTAATTTTTTTTTATTATTTTTAATTTTTTATTACATTTTTAAAAAAAATTTTAAGATTTTTTTTCATATTTTACTATGACCAAAGTAGTACAATGTTACCATAGTAACATTGTACTACTTTGGGGAAGTGATCAGTATTTTTTTTTTTACACAATTTGCTTATAGCAAAGAATTACTTTGCTATAAGCAAGCATTTACCTGAATGACATCGATTCATTCAGGTTTTTTTTTTTTTTGTGCTTAGCTGTGATTTGGCCACAGCTAATCACATGACATGTGCATGTGACCTGCTGTGATTGGTCACAGCAGGTCACATGGTACCGGCAATGGGGGCCGGTGCTCAGATCTGTCATCGGCCGTGTCCGAGGTACATGGCCGGTGACAGATCGCGCCGCTGCGTGGCTCTGCAACTGCGTGAACTGCGCATGTGCGGGAGGACGCCAAATGGCGTATACCCTGGAAAGCTACAGCATTTTTGCGGCCGCCAAACGGCTATAGGTCGGACGGCTAATGGTTAAAGATATATAAACTGTGACGTAATATGAGACCGTTCTAAGCCCAATGTCTTCTGAAACAACCAACAGCAAAGCCGAATAGTGAAGTAATCCAGGAGGGAGTAGGAATTGTGTGGTGCTGAGAAAAATTTAGTAGTCTCTGAGATTTGGGTGTAACATGCACCAAACATCCACTAGGCCCTCTGACAAAAATGTTCCCTTAATATGAGAGGCTCCTACTGACAAGTCCAACAGCGGATCAAGAGGTACATTAAAGTTGCCTCCTGATATCTGCAGGCCCGCCATGAAATCTGAAAGTTGCTGCAGACAATACTCAAGGAACCACACTTGGCCCACATTAGGGGTGTAAATGTTAGCCATACTTACTAGAACCTTTTAAGAATATAAGAATAGAAACCTGCCCATATCATCCCAGAGGCTATCCATACAGGTCCACGCCACATTATTAGAGATAAAAATACTGACCCATGAGACTTGGACTCAAGTAAGCAGCTATGGTAAACAAATGGATATCTTGCATTGCCCAACCTAGAAGAATTACCCTGTGAAGGATTTAGGATCTTTTTGCAGGGACATTCAGCCTCTTGACATTGAATAATAAGGATTTCATGTCAAGGTGTACTGCCAGTAGTACTCAAGCTTCAGAAGGAAGAGGATGAGTAAAGACAAAAGAAAAAAAAGTTAAGGGAAGTCATTCAGGAACCCTGGTAACAAAAATGAGACAAAAAGTAAAAAAAAGAGGTGAGAGCAAGGTCCTACATAGGGAAAAACCTAAATGATAGTCATGATGAACCCCAGGATTTTCCCAGGATCAAGTATCAAATCTAAGACCTAGGATGTCCAAAGCTGCATAGTAAAGCAAATCTTACCAGGGGCCATAGAGCTACCCTGTCTGATCTGACCCATTGGCTCCTGGAGCCAGCAGTCCTTAATAGGCCAGGGCCATGACACATCAGACTCATTAAGGTTAGATATGAACCCCCAAACAATAAACAAATACTTATATTTTGTAAAAAAAGAATGCATAACTTCTCCCACTCGTCCAGCCTGCCATGTTAATCTGTCAGGAGGAGTCCAGACCTAATGAGAAAACTCAGAGACCTGACCCCCCCCAAGGTGAGGGCAGGTGGCAGGGGAGGAAAAACTACATAAAGGAGGAGGAAACTAGATATGGTAAAAATTACATACAGAAGACACATTTGTACCCACCCCATTGGAGGTTGACCAGATGTCCTATATAGGAAATGGGGGGGCAGGCATATTTTACAGGAAGACAGAGTGGGGTGTGCCAGTAGCTCCAGAACTATGAGGATGGAGCTAAAGAAACTACCCCCTATTGTGTGGTCCCCCATCCAGCCTCCTGAGCAACACCAGCCTGAGGTGATCAAAGGAAACAGGATCATCACCAATGACTCTGGCCTACCCTGCCACTTATTTACCCAAAAAAACTACTGGACTCCTCTCCTCTGAATGAGACCAGGCCATGTTCTCGGGAACCCCAAGAGGGGACCACTAACATGCCCTAAGAGAGAGCACTCACCTAGTCTCTCTAGCTATGTGAGAATGACCTGCTCTAAAAAGGGAGGGACATAGGGTAAACACCAGGGGCGGACTGAAAACTCATGGGGCCCCCGGGCAATAGGGGATCATGGGGCCCCTGTGTCCTTGCCCAAACTCAAAAAAGCCTATGAAAGAGGTACCAGGGGCATCTCATGGGGCCCCATAGTGACCCCGGGCCCTCGGGCAGTGTCCGAGTTTCCAAATGGTCAGTCCGCCCCTGGTAAACACACAAATGGGCCAGTGGGCCATCTCCTCCAAACCTCTCTGATGTGTCCCGACACCCAGGTCAGGACCCTTGACTCACTACAGAAGAATCAGGCAGAGTCCTTTGGCTTTGAGGTCCAGCAAATAAACATCATACAGAACAACTTAGGTTAAATAATAGAACCATAACTACTTCCTGCTCTCCCTTCAGTGGAGGCAGAGAACTGAAAGTTGACCAGTGTACCCCTGGGCGCATGGACCCCCAGCTGAATTACGAATAGAATATATCCTGAGGAAAAGAAAAAATAGGGAGGGGGGAGGATGGAAGGGCGGATGAGAGGTCAAAAATCAGGGGCAACTGTAAAATTAAGCTAATGTCCTCAGTCCACAGAATATCCCTGTAAAAGACCTGGTCTGTAAACCCTATGGCAACAAATCCCTGCCATAGAACAACCCCCCTTCCACCCAAAGGGAAGGCAACGCATAGCCCTAGGCCCTCTGGGTGGGAACCATTATCAAGCAAGAAATGTAGCTAGTAGAGAGCTTGTCATTCAAGTTACAGACACCTGAGACATAAAGCAGAAACACAAAATAGCAGGAGAATGAAACCCTAGTAAACCCCTCAAGGATTAAGATGAAGCCCCAGCCTGAGAGTGACCCCTGCAATGCTTTATTAAAGAAGCGTGCCCTCTATGTTCATAGGCTATTGTACCTGTATATTGTATAGATATAGAGTCTGCTTAGAGTTTCTTGGACAAGGTTTGGGATTCAATGGACATTACATTACATTTTTGGTGCAAAGAAAGTTAACCTCTTCACACAAATATGCGGCCTCACAGAACTGGGCTTTTTTCTGTGGGGCCGCATATTTGCGTACCTGTCTTTCTGCTGGGAGCGCACCGCACAGGGCACTCCCAGCACAGAGACTGAGGTGTCACTGAGAGCCCCGGGTCCCATTCTAACGTTCTATATTTAATTTGTATCATGATGCATCACTTAATTAACTAGTTGCCGACCGCAGATAGCCGAATGACGGCTTCACTGCGGCCGGCCAGTTCTGGGTGGACGTCATATGACGTCCCCCCAGAACGCGCTCTCCTGCGCGCCCCAGGGGGCGCGCACCCGGCGATCTCCATGATCGCTGTGTCCTACGGACACAGCTGATCACGTGATGTGGTAAAAGGCCGATCCCAGCGGCCTTTTACCACGTGATCAGCGGTGTCCAATGACACGCTGATCACAGGGAAATGCAAGTGCCGGTTCTCGGCTGCACTTTCCTCACGCTGTCAGATCGTGAGGAAAGTACTGCCGAGAACCGGCAGTTGTCACAGCGGGGATCGGCACCGATCATCAGGACACTGATGATCAGTGCCCTGATGATCGGTGCCCAGCAGTGCCACCCGCAAGTTCCGCCCACCTGTGCCCAGCAGTGCGCCCACTAGCTTCGCCCACCTGTGCCCAGCAGTGCACCCACCTGTGCCCAGCAGTGCACCCACACTCTGCAGTGTCACACACCTGTGCCCAGAAGTGCCACCTACCTGTGCCCAGAAGTGCCACCCACCTGTGCCCACCCACCTGTGCCCACCAGTGCCACCCACCTGTGCCCACCCACCAGTGCTGCCCACCAGTGCCACCCACCAGTGCAGTCCAGCAGTGCTGCCAGTCAGTGCCACCAGTCAGTGCCCAGGGGTTGTGCCAATCAGTGCCTCCAGTCAGTGCCCAGCAGTGATGCCAGTCAGTGCCGTCTATCAGTACCCATCATCAGTGTCACCTATCAGTGCCGCCTATCAGTGCTGCATATTAGTGCCGCCTATCCGTGACACCTCATTAGTGCTGTCTATCAGTGCCGCCTATCCGTGCCACCTCATTAGTGCTGCCTATCAGTGCCCATCAGTGCCGCCTATCAGTGCCCATCAGTGCTGCCTCATCAACGCACATCAGTGAAGGAGAAAAAAAACCTGTTTGAAAAAGTTTATAATAGAAACAAAGAAATTTTTTTTTTCAAATTTTTTGCACTTTTTATTTATAGCGCAAAAAGTAAAGCGCCCAGTGGCAATTAAATACCACCAAAAGAAAGCTCTATTTGTGAGAAAAAAATGATCAAAATTTCATATGGGTACAATGTTGCATGACCGCGCAATTGTCAATCAAAGTGCGGCAGCGCTGAAAGCTGAAAATTGGCCTGGTAAGGAAGGGGGTATAAGTGCCCGGTAGGCAAGTGGTTAAAGCTCTTACTGATTTAAAACAAAACAGATATACCCTAAAGATGTATTTTGTAACAGTAAACCCTTAAAGATAATAATATATATGTGTGTTTTATAATATTTTTCCAACAAATAATTTAAAATGAAAACATGGAACAGGAGATGAAACTGTTAAATAATGTGTATATAGGGTGATCTAAAAAAAATAATTGGTTAAGCAGTAAAATAAAGGTTAGGCAACTGGCTATGCATGTGGGCAACCAGGAGTTTAAACTATGTTGTGCAGCAAATTAATGAGATTTTTTTAAAAAAATTTGACAATAAAAAATAACCTTTTTTGGTAATTAAAAGCACTTCTTCAAGTCAAATGCCCACAAAAACTCACAACAATGTCAAAAGACAATAAAAATGAAAATGTACAAAGTGCCAAAATCAAGAAAACAAAACAACAAGTAATGTTTTGTTGATCCTTTTCATTTTAAAAAGTACCTAAACCGAATATTAAAATGTAATTTCCTCATATGCAGTGGTGACATTTATTTTCGGGACTTTTTCCATTTACCTGGTAATTCTGCAAATAACACACTGTTATGTCTACACTTATTCATCCATGGTATCTGTAGAAACAGCCATGATTGTCACATGGGCATTGTTTGGACTTGGGCATTGTTCATCTCTATTGCTTGGGGGATTAACATGATTAGCAGTTTACACAAGAAAGATAAGGATCTCTGTGCTTTTTATCAAGCTCATAGAAAGTGACAAGAACCCTATTTCTAGCAAGATCAGCAGGTATTTATGCACTTGCTGAAAATGTGGTCATTACTTGGCGGTTTAACCTTTTGCATTCAAAAAGCTTGCTAATACATATGAAGCCATCCATAACGCTGCCCCAAACTACCTCATAGACCTGATACCCAAATACCACCCTACCCGTAATCTTCGCTCCTCACAAGACCTCCTACTCTCTAGCTCCCTGGTCTCCACCTCCCACGCCCGACTGCAGGACTTCTCCAGGACTTCCCCCATCCTCTGGAACTCACTACCCCAATCCATTAGACTGTCACCTACCCTCCTCACCTTTAGGCGCACCCTGAAAACCCATCTCTTCAGGGAAACCTACCCCACCCTCACCTAACAGCCGATCTCCACCACTCCTTCTACCACTCCATCCCCCACAGCCACTTCCTCCTGTACCACTATCCCCTCCCTCCTAGATTGTAAGCTCGAAAGAGCAGGGCCCTCGAACCCCTCATGTATTGTCATTGTATTGTATCTGTCCCCCACTATGATATCCAGTGCTGAGCAAACCTTTCTGGCGCTATATAAATACTGTATAATAATAATATAAACATACTACATATGGGTAATTATTATTATTACAAGACAACCCAGAACACCAGAAGTGACAAGGACACAGTATTTCTAGCAAGGTCAACAGTTATTTTTTTTTTTTTACTTGCTACAAATATTCCTAGCTTTAAAGGAAATTTAACCCGTCCAGTCAAAAATGTTCTTTGCACATATAGGAGAACATGGTATGTATTGGTAATAATTATTACAAGAAAATCCAGAAAACTAATCTAAAATGTAATATAAAAATTTTAAAACTGGATTTTGTCTCCAGACTCTGCATTCTCTGTGCTCTGAGAGCTGCCTTCCCCTGATACCAACAACTTCAACATAAGGGAGAACAACCGAGTTGTCACTACTGTGTGCCCTGCCAGGAGAATGAGATTTTCAACAAAACTGGTTGGTACCACTAATATTATGGCCCTACTTTTTCTTACTCTTTTATTATATAATGCATAAGTTCTACTCTCACTTGTACGCCATGTGTTTCTGGTAGATTCTGTCTCCTGTCTTCATTTCAGCTAAATAGAGCATGTTCTAGATGGGACATCCTGACTCCAACGCACACACTAATCGCTCCCCGGTTAGCTTCCGCCTTCAGCATACATACATTTGTTTTTTTTTTTCAGTTAGATGCCATCCACAAGAGCATAAAGGAGATTCCAAGAGACAGGTAGTTACTCTAGGAGAGCTAGACAGGTTCGTACAAGGTCCTTAACCCATCAGCAGGACCGGTATCTGTTCCTTTGTGCAAGGAGGGACAGGATGAGCAATGCCAGAATCCCACAAAATGACCTCCAGCAGGCCACTGGTGTGAATGTCTCTAAACAAACAATCAGAAAAAGACCCAATGAGGGTGGCCTGAGGGCCCGACATCCTCTAGTGGGCCCTGTGCTCACTGCCCAGCACCATAGAGCTCGATTGGCATTTGCCATTGAACACCAGAATTGGCAGGTCTACCACTGGTGCCCTGTGCTTTTCACAGATGAGAGCAGGTTCACCCTGAGCACATGTGACAGATGTGAAAGGGTCTGGAGAAGCCGTGGAGAACATTATGTTGCCTGTGACATCATTCAGTATGACCGTTTGGGTGGTGGGTCAGTGATGGTCTGGGGAGGCATATCCATGAAGGGACGCACAGACCTCTACAGGCTAGACAATGGCACCCTGACTGCCATTAAGTATCTGGATGAAATACTTGGACCCATTGTCAGACCCTACGCTGGTACTATCAGTTCTGGGTTCCTCCTGGTGCCCAGCCTCATGTGGCAAGAGTATGCAGACAGTTCCTCGAGGATGAAGGAATTGATAACACATCCTTGCAAACAGCCAAGAGCCCATGCAAGAACTTGTTCCTAGGAGGCCGTGCTATCCATGGGATTGGTGAGCAGGTGGATGTCCAACCTCTTTCTGTCATCACTCTAGAGATACTGCATGCAGACACCTTTACACCTCAGTATAAGGAAATCTTTGCTTTGAGCGGTACCACAGCTTATCTGTTTAATTATATTGAATTACCAGTATTCACTGTTGTTTATGGGCTCCACCATTTCTTTCAGAAGACAAGGATATCCTGGTACCATACCAGGAACTTTAAACATCACAGAACCCAAGTTGCGATCTCTAGTTAAAGGGACCTCTTCTCTTATAAGGCCATTGTTATTCAAATTAGGATTCTTATATCTAGTTATGTCAGAGTATACATTTACATAATTCTCTCCATCCACCATTGTGGAGCTGGTGGCCTAGAGGGAGGTGATAAGTCAACAAGCCTTTTCTTCCCCCTCTTGTTGCTGGTGTTGCAGTTCAATAGTTGAAGCTTACTGCTCATGACTGTATAATATGTTAAATGTTGCTAACTGAGTATTCCTATTTCACCAATGTTCTTTTGTTATGCATTAACTGGGGTTGTATATACAAAACCCATTATTCTTGTGGTCTACTCTTTTGAACAAGACTAATATCAAGGTGTTGTTAAAAAATTGTGTCTCTTTCATTCTTATCTAATACTGTTGAAATACAGTATGTCTAAACCTAGAGGCTTGCAAGGTCAGGGCAATCACTGTGGACAAGCATCATCAAGCGGCCCCTACAGTGGTAGCGCTACAAAGTAAGAAGAGTAATGGGCTCATCATTTGGAAATGTCCATAAAGGAGTACTAGGATGGTTGCCAGCATAAAACATTTTATAAATATGTGGTTAATATTGACCTTACCATTCCAATAGGTTGCTTACACATACATATAGAATAACTTAGTACACATTAGTAATTATTATTTACAAGAAAATCCAAAACACTAGGTAAAATTTAATATATTATCTTGATAAACTGGTTTATGTCTTCAGACTCCCCGTTCTGTGTGCTCTGATAGTTGCCTCCCCAGATACCAGAAATGTCAATATTAAGGAGGGCATACTGTTACTACTCTGTGCCCTACCCAGAGAATGAGATCACCAACAAAAATGGCTGGTACTGATAAAAAAATGGTCTTCCTTATTCTTCTAACAGAAAATATATATGTATAAAAATGCATACGTTCTACTTTCACTTTGCCATGTGTCTCTGGTGAATTCGACCCCCAGCAGCGACATTCCACCACCAGCACACACAGTGGTCACTCCCAAGTTAGGTTACATCTCCAGCACACACAAATTGTTTTTTTTTTCTCAGTCAGATTCCACCCACAAAGAAACACAGTGCCTCCAAGTGTGTACTGTGAAGGTATTTAATAGAAAGATAAGTAGTAACTCACATCTTAGAATTTAACCCCTCGCCTACAGGGCACTTATATCCCCTTCCTGCCCAGGCCAATTTCCAGTTTTCAGCGCTGTCACACTTTGAATGACAATTGCGCGGTCATGCAACACTGTACCCATATGAAATTTTTATCATTTTTGTGTGACAGAAAGAGCTTTATTTTGGTGTTATTTAATCACCTCTGGGTTTTTTATTTTTTCCTAAACAAACCAAAAACCACTGAAAATTTTGAAAAAAAAAGTTTTTTCTTAGTTTTTGTTATAAAATGTTGTAAATAAGTGATTTTTCTCCTTCACTGATGTGCGCTAATAAGGCTGCAGTGATGGGCACTGATAGGCTGCACTGATAGACACTGATAGGTGGCACTGATGGGCACTGTTGAGGAGGCACTGATAGGTGGCACTGATGGGCACTGATGAGGAGGCACTGGTAGGTGGCACTGATGGTCATTGACAGGCATCACTGATGGGCACTGAAAGGCAGCACTGATATATGGCACTGATAGGCGGCACTGACTGGCACTGATAGGTGGCACTTACTGGCACTGATAGGTGGCACTGATAGGCACTGACTTGCACTGATAGGTGGCACTGATTGCATTGATAGGTGGCACTGACTGGCACTAATGGGTGACACTGAAAGGTAGCTCAGATGGGCACTGATATGTGGCATTGATGTGGCACTGATGGGAACTGGCACGTGGCACTGATGAGCACTGACACAAGG